GAAAAATGGTGGTGGCGTTGCAACTTTTATTCACTCCAAATGGTCTGTCTCTAATAATGTCTGCTTCACCTTTTCAAATGACTTCATTGACTGTATTACTGTCAAATGTCGCCCCAAACACCTCCCCAAATATAAACAAAACTATATTACAAACATGTACATTTCTCCTAGTTGCTCTCCATCTGATCTATCTAATTTTGCTGATGAATTCACCATGTTTGCTGCTGCCAACTTCGACAACTCTCTATCCGTTATTACTGGAGACTTCAACACATCAGATTGCTCCTTTCTTGAAGCTCTTGGTCACACAAACATAGTCAAATTTCCCACTCGACTTGACAAAACACTCGATCTAGTTTTTACTAATGACGAAGGAGTATATGAAACACGTAGACGTTCACCGATACTAAACTCCGATCACTGCATTGTCCGTGTTTTACCAAAAATATACAGCAAAACACATATTAAAATCTTCTCACACCTGTCTATGAAAGCACAACAAAGATGCTACACATCTGACAACCTACTCAATCTAAGATGCATGTTAAAAAATACTAACTGGGATTTATTCTATGAAAGTACATTAGATGACTCAATCACCAATATAATGGATTATCTCAAGTTCTGCCTTGACATATGCTGTCCCAAACAAACACTGTTCAAACGCCTCGACCGCTTCTCGTCTCCTCATCTCAAACAACTTCGCAGGCAAAAAGAAATGTTATATAAATGCAAAGACAAGTTAGGACTTAAAAAGATTAATGCTCAAATCAAATCTGAAATCAAAAATCTTAATGCTATCTATAACCAAACACTTTTATCATGCAAATCTCCTATCAGCATGTGGAAACTTTTCAATGAAATTACTGGCAATAGTAAGCGATGTAATGTTTTTCCCTCTTGTGATGTTAATGCTCTTAATCAGTCTTTTATACGCTCTCCTTCTACTATAACCACTTCTAATGTTACTAATCTTGTAGCTGATAACTTCCAGGACTTTAACACTCTCGATGTTTTAAAATGTCTTAAAACTCTTAAGCCCTCACATAGTCTTGGCCCTGATGGTATACCTGCATATGTTCTAAAACAATGTGCAGATGCTTTATGTTCTCCTCTAACTAATATCCTAAATGCTTCTTTCTCCGAAAACGTTGTACCTGTTCCATGGAAAGACATTAAAATAGTCCCTGTCCCTAAACCTGGAAATAGCAAGAACGTAAAGTTCAGACCCATTGCCATCACTTCCCCGTTTCTAAAGCTCATGGAAAAACTAGTACTTCTTAAACTCGAACCCTCCCTTAAAAGCTTCGAAGACCCCAAACAATTTGCCTACAGACAGGGTAGGAGTACTTTAGACGCTGCAGCCGTCTTACACAACAGTATCGTCTCATCATTAGATAAAGGTGCCAAATATGTCCGCTGCACGTTTCTTGACTTCACTTCTGCTTTCGACTCTGTACCTAGATGTCTCTTGCTAAATAAGCTCTCCATGACACAAACCGAGTCCTGGGTCACTAACTGGTTGCATTCCTACTTTTCAAACAGAATGCAGTACACCGTATACAAAGGCCAATCCTCCTCTGCTGTGCTCACTGAAGCTGGTGTCCCCCAAGGTGCTGTACTCTCCCCACTTCTCTTTTCTTTCTTTCTACATGACCTACCATCTTCAAATGACATTAATTTTGTCAAATATGCTGATGACCTAACTGTATCTTTGCCTGTCAAATGTCAAAGTGACTGCACTAAACTAAACGGCTTTTTATCAGAAGTCAGCCAATGATCCAAGGAAAACGGTCTCACCTTAAACCCCTCCAAATGCCAAACAGTTAATTTCACCTTTAGGCATAAATCTGACCTAAACAAACTGGTTAGCACTCACGAGGTGTGCAACATTGATGGCACCAAAATAGAAACCAAGTCAGAAATTAAATACCTAGACGTCATTCTGTCTGCTGATCTTTCCTGGTCGTCTCATATCTTGATGATTTCTAAGAAAATATTCCGTCTTACCTTCTACATCAAGAAGTTAAGACATTCTGGTATAATCCGACCCTTACTCCTGCAATTCGTTAACTCCCGTATTCTGCCTATTATTCTCTATTCTTCTCCCTTAGTTTTCCAGGGCTGGCTGAAGAAAGACTATACCTTATTACGCAGGATGTTAAAGGTTGTCAGCAGGATAAGCTACGTTCCACTTAACCAGCTTGTTAATATTCTGGTTGACAGGCACATGGACTCATGTGAAAAATGGGCTAAATCCATTTTATCTAACTCACAACACTCTCTTCATTCACAACTCTCCCCTTCTATCTCCTCAGGCAAAACCAGAAGCCTACATAAAAAACTATATGCTCGCATTACCAAGTACAAAAACTCGACTATACCCTACTCAGCTCGTGTTCTGTGCGATAAAGAAAGCACTAGGCGTGATACCTATAACTTATTAAGTAGTCAGTAGAACAACTGGATCTCGTCTTTCCAACTCATATCATTTATAGCTGCAACGTGTTGTTTCTTGCTTTCTTTTCCTTTTTACTCTCTCTCTCTTTTCTCTGTTATGTGCAGCTTTGTTTCTTTCTTCTGCTTACGCCAGTAAATATGCTAGAACCTACTTTTCTGGCACCTTCAGACACTCTGATTAATTTCAGCTTTGCTACCGACATGCTACCGATATGTTGTTGTCAAAACTAACTGAGATTACCCTTAATCTATGTAAAATTTTATGTTTTATTGTTAATTTATTAACTGGATGCAACACTGTATGTAGTGAAATACTGAGAATTCCATTCTGTATCACAAGTACTGTTCTGGAATAAAGCTATTTTCATCATTATTATTATTAGTTTTATAGTATCTCTTCTCTACCACCACTCAAACATTAAAGTATGTTATTATCATCTATAAAACCACTGTAATTTCAGGTAGTCTGCAGTTGATGAGAACCTGTGAAATAGAATGTAATCATTTTATAATTTTCTTTATTCTTTGTCACTCGTCTACGAGGTTAGTAAGATTTTCAGATATCCAAGTGGATAACTTTGTTGAATAATTTCTGTTCCTGTAAGTATTTTCAGCTGATTCGATAAATAAAGCTTCCTTTATCGATCTCTCCAATCCCGCTTCCACTCTATTACATTAAATTTTAAAACCGTCATCTAATCCCATCATCTTATATTGCAGGGTCGTGTCTAGGCGCATGTAGTGAGTTTCATAGCTGAGCTATTTATTCTCCAGATTTCTTATCCTATTCAGGTCAACTAATCTAGATTTTGCTAGGTTTTTAATGCTGCTCCATTAGTCGCTCTGAATGATCATGTTCTACTACTTTGACCTATGTATTTGACCTGACAATCATTGCAGCGTATTAGACAGACTAGATTGTTTTGTTTAACTAGCTCCACAGAATTGATCCTTTAACCGGCAAATCTTATTCCTAATAGATTTTGTGGGTTTGAATGTTAGTCACTGTTATTCCAGCCTTGTTAAGAATTCTGCATAAGGTGGTTTCCTAGGTTCCTTCTTTGTATGGAAACACTACTGATGATTTCGATTACCTGTTGTTGGTGTTCTTATTATCCTGAGCATGTCATCACTAATATTACTATGATTATTATCACTAACACTACTATTTTATATAAGTATAAAACTTGGGCACTGTGGTGGTAGATTATAACTCCATTATGGATAAGATTTTATTTTGATAAATCACGCACAGTGTTGTACAGTTATATTAACTGATGACGTTTCGAGCACAAACTATTACTGCTCATAATCATATCAAGTAACTCACACAACTGTTTTTCTTCATTTATATACATGTGTCGAATCGATTAGATATTGGATGAAAAATCAATATGAGATAGTGTCCATTCAGAAATAATAGTACGAGTGTTACTGATCAATTACAGCCAGAAAAAAGCTCAGCTATTGCACTTCACGCATTAACAAACAACCACACAATAGGGTGGGTGGGATAGGGTTAAAATTCTAAAAAGTTATATAGGTAGGTGGAGAGAGAGGTTTATCACAGAATCCTTATTCATCGGGTCTACACACAACACATGCAGCAGGAATGACTCAATGCAAATACCAGAAATATGGAAGATATTATTACCTCAATAATCTTAAAAATTCTACTTCAATTCAAACACATCACAACATTCTAACAAGTAACTTATTATGACTATAAAAAAACACTCGTATAAAACATTCGTATTTCCCATCTAACTGTAATTGATCAGTAACATTTGTACTATTATTTCTGAATGGACACTATCTCATATTGCTTTTTCATCCAATATCTAATCGATTCGACACATGTATATAAATGAAGAAAAACAGTTGTGTGAGTTACTTGATATGATTATGAGTCGCAATAATTTGTGCTCGAAACGTGGTCATCAGTTAATATAACTGTACTACTATTTTATTATTTATTTTATTTTTACATTTCCCTACATATTTCCTGACTAATTTATTCGGATAATTATGAAATTTCAAAGCTTCTCTTGTATGCCTCATTTCCTGTCTTAGATTTTCCTTGGTACTATTTAGACTTTGTGCCCCATTTATCACTTAAACATTTCACCAATCCTGTTTTTACTCGAATAGGATGGGATGATTCGAAATCCGAATATCTGTTTGAATTTGTTGTCTTCCTGTTAACACTAGTGTGTTTTACTTCCCATCTTCTTTCCTTTTTCACGCTATAATCTAAAATAAGAAGCTCCCCTACCTGACTTTTAAATTCGTCATAAGTGAATTGCATTACCTCTACCTTCAAGTTGGTGTGCTAAGTTTCTCCGCGTATTCATGAATACATCTACCACAACCGGTGATATTAGCAACCCCATATGGAAATTGCGGTGGTCAGAAACGAATTGCATACTTTCACAATGCCCGAGTTTGACATATATATATATATATTAATATAACTGACTACTTTGTTTGGGGACTGTTCACAGAAGGATAGTGAAAGCATAATATGAAGGAAGACTCACCACAAAGTAGGATTTATTTCTGCTTACTGACCACTGATCATCGTAAATATGTTCATCAGTTAAGATTTGCTTCACGGACTACAAATAGTTAGGGAAAAAAAAACAAAAATGGACAGAAAACAGAAAATCGATAAAAAGTATTTGTAATGCATCAAAGTAATAATTTTAACAAGATTAGTAGATAAAGATTCCCAGTATTGAATAATACGCCAGTTATGGATCCGATTTCAGTCACAATTCCATCCTGGCATAGACTATCTGTAGGTGCATTAATCTTGAGCATAAGCGTCAGTTACCTGTTACAGAAAACGTTGCCTGACCTTCAGATGAGATGTAGTAATCAGGGGGGTTTACGATGCCAGGTGTGAAGGTTAATACTGATCGATGAAACTGCCTACTAATCGCACTTAAGTCATGAATTAGTAGGAATCAGAATTCATGAACCATTGAGTCTGGTTACAGTGGCTGAAATGCTTAACTAGTTCGCCCCGTAACCGGATGACTCTGGCTTCGACCCCTGTTGTGTGAGTACTAGCGTTTAGCGTCAGACTCGAGCAAAACGGTTTTCCAGTGCTCCCCTGTCCTCCAGTAACTCTTTTAACTGAGAGCAGCTGGTGATCAAACTTGCAAACTGAAATCGAAAACTTTGCAAAATTTCTAAGTGCTCGAAGAATGTTTCCTAGCCATGTGAGACGTCCAGGTTCGACTGTCGGCTAACGTATTCTTTAATATTTCCTGGCCTGTAGTAAGCCTGAAAAAGAGGGCATGGGAGATTCGGCATGAGACTAGCAGTTTTTTTGTTTACGCTGAAAGGAGCAAATTTTACATTGATCCAAGGTGGTAAAGATGTGTATCCCCTTTACAGTTTTATTCTTAACATTGTCATCCGTGACATGGGCATCTGTAGTTGAGGCTCTAGTTTACGAACTCTATTAAGCCGCATAGTTGATTTCATTATTTATTTATTTATTCATTCATCTGTCAATAGACGCCTCAATGGTGAGAGTATTATCTGTGATTAGTCTCCATTCTTAATACCTGTCAGATAATTAAGTGACGGAGTTGAGCCATCTTCCACTGTAGACTTCATCACCAAGTAACACTTAGACTTATTTGTGGAGCGATAGATGACTATTCTGTAATAGTTTGAAATTCTCCAGTAATATGCACCAACGAACCTACCATGAAATGGGACCCAACAGATTCAGGTTACGAAGCGCAGCTCTTTGACCTATTGTTTGTGCGTCGATGGCGCAGTGGTTAGGACTCTCGCCAACCATGCACATGGTCCAAGGTTCCATCCTCTGCCGACGCACACCTGATATCTATGGTTGGCCTGCAAAATTTGGGCTACCGGTATCCATGCTGAAAATTCCATACTTGTACCAAAAATACGGTGTGGAATCAAGCTGTAATCAAAAATAAAACACTTAAAATAAACTAATGTTATATTGAAGCCCTCTGACTACATAGCCACCTGGTCCTAACGAAGTGTATCCCAAACTTGTTTCAATTTACAGTGTAGCACGACAGTCTTATGATAGACCACAATAGGCATGACTTTTCAGCAGGGGTTCAGGAGTTCAGCATTTATATATTTGGGCTAGTGAGGACTTTGTTATTACTATTATTATATTGCAGCCGAAGTGTACAATGAAGTTATTCATAAGCCCCTAGAAACTCAATAGATTTAGTTGTAACCTAACTGAAATTTGTATGTATACAGTTGATGATCCTATGAAATACTGATGATTTTATGTGCGTATAATCGATTTTCAATAAAAGAAAATACCAAAGGTTGACAAAATATCATGGATTAAATATTACCAAAAATGTTTATGGACAAAGAGATAAAAACTCGAATTTATTAACAAACCTACCAGTGAATAATTTTGGACACTGGATTGATTGACATATATTGAAATAATAAACTATTTATCTATGTATCTATCTATCTATCTATCTATCTATCTATCTATCTATCTATCTATCTATCTATCTATCTATCTATCTATCTATCTATCTATCTATCTATCTATCTATCTATCTATCTATCTATCTATCTATCTATCTATCTATATCTATCTATCTATCTATCTATCTATCTATCTATCTATCTATCTATCTATCTATCTATCTATCTATCTATCTATCTATCTATCTATCTATCTATCTATCTATCTATCTATCTATCTATCTATCTTCTATCTATCTATCTATCTATCTATCTATCTATCTATCTATCTATCTATCTATCTATCTATCTATCTATCTATCTATCTATCTATCTATCTATCTATCTATCTATCTATCTATCTATCTATCTATCTATCTATCTATCTATCTATCTATCTATCTATCTATCTATCTATCTATCTATCTATCTATTATCTATCTATCTATCTATCTATCTATCTATCTATCTATCTATCTATCTATCTATCTATCTATCTATCTATCTATCTATCTATCTATCTATCTATCTATCTATCTATCTATCTATCTATCTATCTATCTATCTATCTATCTATCTATCTATCTATCTATCTATCTATCTATCTATCTATCTATCTATCTATCTATCTATCTATCTATCTATCTATCTATCTATCTATCTATCTATCTATCTATCTATCTATCTATCTATCTATCTATCTATCTATCTATCTATCTATCTATCTATCTATCTATCTATCTATCTATCTATATATCTATCTATCTATCTATCTATCTATCTATCTATCTATCTATCTATCTATCTATCTATCTATCTATCTATCTATCTATCTATCTATCTATCTATCTATCTATCTATCTATCTATCTATCTATCTATCTATCTATCTATCTATCTATCTATCTATATCTATCTACCTATCTATCTTTAGGGCCAACAGCCTAGCTATTAGTCATTCGCAAGTTTAAAATAATGAAATGAAATAAATAAAGGAGATATCACTAGTGAACAGCACACTACCCACCAGAAGTTATTCAAAAACATATGAAGAACCATGGAGAAACTAAGATTAGCAATAAAAATTACGAAAGTAATATTGAATCCAATGGCTATTTAGTACTGCCATATAAAGAGATAGCATCAGAGGCCTTACTCAGGATTCTCAATGAGACTGGTATTAGTAGGAGTGGCATTTAAACCTACCAATCCACCAAGTCACTCACAGGTAAACGTTCCGGGATTAAGGACCTAACAGATCCAATTAAGTAAATCTATAATATAATTTTACCAAATACTATGTAATGATGACTGTAAGTGAGGTCAACTACATAGGTCACTAAAACTATTACTTCAGGGTCAACAAGATTATTGGAATATCAAAACCTAGCTAGACCTATTATCAATGACCCTGCTTTGTAAGTTAAATAGCCTAGAAGAAGCGGAGCTCAGCCAAATAAACTGAATTTACTTTCATGTATTCGTATATACTCTAGGGTGGGTGGAATAGGGTAAGATTATTGAAAGGTGATATAGTTAGTTTAGGGGGAGCGAGAGAGAGAGAGTGAGGCAGGTTATTCACTGAAGCTTTGTTTATCATCGATTCAGCACCGCACACGTGCAGCAGTCGGAATGACGCAACACGTATACCAGAAATATGGAAAGTGACGACGCAAACAACAACAGGAACTTGAAAAGACAGAAAGAGAGAAAATATGCATAAGACAAAATGTGAAAACGTGTCACTGAATTGACATGATTATGATTGGCAATAATTTATGCTGGAAACCTTGTGTGTGTGTCATGAAGTTGTTAATACTATATGACATTTAATATAAACTTATCTAATATGGAATTACATTCTAACACAAAGCTCGAGTCCTACACTTACATTAGAGGTGATTCTGAACCTGATAGACAAACTACAGTAAAAGCTATAACAATACACCATAAAATATGAAGACATTCAAAAACAAACACTGCTTAATCATAAAGCATCTACTACACCTCCGAACCTATCAAGACATCGTTAAATAAAAAAAAAGTGTTATTGTACAGGTGCTGTGAATAAAATCCCTGGAAAAGACATCACTGCTGAACTTCTTGATTCCGCTTTCAATATATATTTTGCTGTGTATAGGAGTCATCTCTATGACATCGAAAAATTATTATCTATTCGACCTAGTTGTGTAAGATCACCTTCACCACTTTCATAAGCTTTATGGTCTGACGTCAGTTAGAAGCGGACCATTGCACAGAGTGTAACTGACTAAGAACTCCTTACACTTTTATACTTAATAAACGAATGTAAAGCTTCATTATTTTATTTAAGTGACTGAACTGTGAATAAAATTTGTTATCCTCAGTTGTTTTGTTTTTTAATTTCGTCAATTAACTAACACTGTAGAATTTTCAAAAGTATGCAAACACTTTAGCATTGAATTTCAATAAGTAACAAGATACAAGATGTTCTGAAACAATACAACCGATACATGTTTTCAAGTAATGGTTTGTGGGTATTTGATTGTTTAGTTACAAGATTTCATCATGATCTGACATCAGTTAGAGAAGCATAGGAAAACCAACTGAGATTCCTGGACAACCGTTTCGTCAGCCTAGTTTAGAACTGGTTCTTTAGCAATACGCACCTACCCCACTCAGGTTCGAATCCTGGACTTTCCAGTTACAAGGTGGGCTAGCTTGTAGAAAGAACACTAAGCGGTCACTGGGACCTCATGCAATCCAGTGGCCAGCCAGCCAGCCCGTGAATTCTAACTTCCGCCAATTCACGTACTATATAGCGTGACCACTTCTCAATGTCTTATTCGATGAAATACTGCCTCACCTTTAGCCTATTGTACCCTACTGGTCACGGCTTCCCACTAGAACCTCAGGTCAACCCTCCGAATAGGGCAAGTTCCTAGTAAGCATCGGATCTATTTTCAAGAATTAGTTTGTATGCATTTGATTGATTGTTTACAGGATTTCATCATGAGCTGGAACATGATCACCTAACCAAGGCTTAGTGGTTGGTTGGACAGGAATTGAACCACTTACCATGTTTTTGTTTCGTACCACACACTGACTTTAAGTTTATAACATATATATATATATATATATATATA